CCTGTTCTTAACAAAGGGTGAAAGTGAACCCAAAATTTGTTTGTGGGCGAGTGAGAATTGCTCGGGCATGATATATATACACACATTCCAACAAATTAAAATCAAGATTTATCTAAGCAAGAACTACAAAATAAAATGAAGATTATCTACTCAAGAATAACAAAATAATAAGCAAATGAAAGAAAAACTTACATGAGACGATCTCATCATATTATGAAGTTGACGTGCACCATAAGGGATATTATTGTATTTGTATATGATAAATTATGGTGGGCATTATTGTTGAAAAAAAAAAACCATGTATGTAGGTAATTAACTGGACAGTCTCACCACGTCAGTATGATGATATGGTGGACCATCCCAGATAAGTATCTCTTGAACATAAGATTACGATAAGTTTCAACAATTCAGGATAATCAATTTATCTCCGGAATGTTGTGGCTAAAGCAGGGATACAACGCAATGAAAACAGTAACAGTGATGAACAACTGCAGCCCTTGCTTATAAACCAATTCCATGACATCACCGCTAAAATTCCGTAAGTAGTCATAACAACTCCCATGCTGTCAAGATCCTTGCAGCAACTCCAGGATTACGGCTGTCACATACCAAGTTACCATATATGAAACAAATGAATGTGATAATATTGCAAAACTTTGCAAAATCCAATAGGAATTTTGCAATAGGTGAAAAGTGGAGCTGGCAACAGTTGTAATGGAACCAATAGTGCTCAAAGTGAGACTATTTGAGCAACGATCACAATGAATACCTTAATTTTTGTACGATGATCGAATCGTACTGCAGGTTCCCTCATCATCTCCAATGTATACGAACTTCACCCTTTGAGTTGGTTTTCGCTGATAAAACGGTGCCAACATTTGGCCTGCGGTTAGTTGTAGAAGGTTGAGTGGTGAACGACGCATAGACAATTGCCCGAGTGCCCCATCCCGGAGATTGAGATGTGTGAGTTAGCAGGGCGGCATCCTCGGAATAATCCCAGGAGCTACCTTGCAGTTGAGGCTGAAAAACAGTGAGGCTGATCACATGGAGGCTCTTTAATTGACAAGTCAACGGGTGCAATGAAGATGAAGCCATTGACGAAAAGGTAGGAAGATTGAAATTTCAGTTAAAGAATTTGAGTGGTGTTGAGATTTGTGTGCACTATATTTTTGCCATTGAATAGGTCTCACATTTCATTTCCAGCTTGCTTTACTTGAAGAGCTTCTTAGTAATTACTGTAATAGAATAACACTTAACGAGTTGCAATAGTTTCCTAGAAATTCAGTACTAGAAGTTAATTATGGAATTACGCGGCAATTCTGATTTCAGACGGGAGGTAGTCATATAAATTTAAAAAAGGTTAAATATATGAGAATATAAGTATTGATCGTGCCTAAACAATAAGGGGTAGTACTGTATATCATAATATGAATACATTTTAAAACCTGTTTCATAAATTTTATCATGATGATCATGAAATAATTGTATCATGTTCATATTTTGAAACTGAAGTCCAAATCAAGAACATTAGTTGTTAAAAATCCATTTTTCTTTTATCAATCATTTTCTTGCATTGTAGGGATTCAAATTTAAACCTTTGATCTAATACCATGTTAAATTGTCATCCCTAATAAAAACTTAAGCTTGTAGTAAGGATTCATATTATTATAGTCCCCATACAAGCTGAATTGACACAATATTTGTTTATACAAATGAGTTAAAAGGATCACAGGAAATTTCCAGTTTTCTTGTATAATTTTTCTACCCTAACTATATAGTCATAGTGGTTTCCTTGCATCTCAGAGGAAAGGAGGATTAAACCACCTGAAATTTAATTAAATTAAGTTTAATGGTAGCCTAAACCGGGAGGGTCACACAACTTTATTAATGTTTGTCGTCGTTAGTGGTAAATAATTTGAAGTCATTAAGTATGAAGATGCATTTCCTGGGGATAACAGGCAACTGTTCTATAAAACATTGTGATATATAAGCAGTCAGTTGAGAGGTTGAAGATTAATTTCCATGCCGTTTCACTCCCTTTCAATGGATATTAATTTCCTTAATATATTGCTTCTCATTTGGTTTTTTTTTTTTTTTTTTCAAAGAAGCTATCATCGGTCTCTGAAATGGATTCTGATATTAGTTCCTGTCAAGAATACTGAACTTTTCTTCTTCAAATTGTTCACCTCTCGCTTTTTCTTCTTCTCAACTCAACATATGGACTCTATAACCCTCGTTATATTTTAAGGGAAAACCGACTCGAATCAAGCTTCTGAATCGGCCTCATCTTCTCCTTCACGGGTGCATTTTGTGCGTCGTTGATTGGAAATAAGCCGCATATCAGAGATTTATCCGTAATGTTTCACCCAATCTCAATCCTAATTTGAAGTACTTCTTGGCAATTAGGTCAAAACTTGCCCTGTCACCTGTTGAAGAAAACTGAAGCTAAACTGTTTGTATTTTTACCCATTAAAGGAATCAAAAGTTAAATCAAAATTGGATGTGAAGAGAAGAGTGCATATGGGGTACAATAGTGGAGGGTAATGTTAACTGCGTGATAGACGCCCTTGGATCAAGTTTTTTTCTACGGATTTAAAGGCTAAGATAGGGGATAATTTTACACTAATGTAAAGAACTGATTTCTCATACAAGATTTGTTTTTTATTAAGAAAGCTTTAAGTATCAAAAATATACAGATTATGCAAAATAAAAACAATGAATCCACAAAAAACATTGCTCCAGACAAAGTTGCAACGAAATCATATTGAAGTTGGATCGAGGAATGGAGCTGTCGTCAACGAATGGAGCTATCGTCGTCGATTTCAGTGAGAAACGGAGCTGTCGTCGTCGATTTCCAGCGAGGGAGGAAGACGTCGTCGTCGATTTCAGAAATTTCAATTGTGATTTGGTGAATGGTTGCGATTTCAACTTTAGGGAGTGGAGTTGATTGCAATTGAGTGGGATTTCAGAGAGAAATTTTCATAGAGAAGAAGCTGAGAAACAAAGAAAGGAAATCAGAATGGAATGGGCTGGATTGCGTAGGGTTAGGGACTTTGAAAATTTCCACGGTTTATCCGCCATCCGATTGGACCGGCGATTCACTGATTTATTCCGATTTTTTAACGAGTTAAAACGGGTTATATATAATAGGGGTTACTGTTGACTCGAACGGACACGTGACCGGTCCGCGTCCAACGTTGGACCTATCGGTCCGGTTTTTAAAACAGTGGGAATAAATAGTGGCAAATTGAATATCTTTGTTTTCATTTGTTCATGTTCTAATTAGGAAACGGTTTTTTTTTTAACAGAAATATTTCTCTTATGATTTTGAAACCATATTTGGTATTCGACTGTGATGCTGATCTTTCAAGAATATGTTGAAAACAATACTAGTTTCCTTTTTGAGAAGAGAGTAACCTTAATTAGATCCAATAGATGTTATTCATGGTTTAAGGTTGTTTAAGATTTGATTTATTGTTATTTGCTGATTAATTAATCAGAGTACCCTACTTCTTGTGTGCTTATTTAAAATCTATAAGATTCATGTTACAAACTCAATACAACACAAAATTGTCAACTCCAGAGAGTTGCTCGAGTACATCATAAACGTTATTGGAGGGGGCAGGCAGGCTTATCATCTGGTTCATCATCGATGATATTGGTGCTTTAACAACAATTCAACGGCCATGAATTGACTTTGATGAAACTCGATCAGGCTCGATCAGGCTTTCTCTCAATGCTCATATCAGGAGACACCACAGCAATTGCTTGAAGTTCACTCTTCTTGTTAAGTCATTTTATGCACCAGACCTGACCCCATTGATCTGATTTGCCTGAGCCAGTGATCAATGGTAAATTTCTGAATTGAGAATATCAGGCCTCTGAAGTCTCCGAATCTTCTTCTTTAGTTTATCTTGCTCACGATATCTCTCCCGCCTTTCTTCTCTCTGGCGTTCTTTGTTAATTGTTCCTCCTTAGCTTTCTCTGCTTCAAGTTCCTTCTCTTCTGCTCTACCTTAAGCTTTCGTTTCTTCATCTGCAAAACAGAATATGTAAATATAGGAAATTTGTAACTGGAAACATGTGAAGGGTACATAAAAAATAGGTAATTGTGATACAAGATTAAATAGTAGACGGGAAAATATTAGTTGACATGATGAGCATTAGGCTTCAAATATGTAAATATAATATATTGGTCTAGATATGCTACCTTTCCATTTCTAATTAATTGAAGATGCTGAACAAGAGTGTGAACTTTTCTCTCATGAGGTTCCATGACACGGCTCTTCTATTTTCAAGAAGTGGCTGTTTCGGCTAGGTATATCCTTGGGCTTGATTCAAATGGGAGAGCTGCCTGCAACGACTTTGGAATCACAATGGGTTGAACCCTTTTGTTTCTTTCAATTGGCTGCCAGAAAGACAAACAAAAGAAAATGATTATAATTACCACATGAAAGATAATCTAAACCAGTCTGGCTTAACTACGGGCTTAACATCTCACAAATTACCTTGAGAGTGAATTCTTGTTAACAGGAATAGAAAGATTGTTTTCTCCCGCAACTGAGCACAGTTTTCATTCCTTGCCAAGTCGATCACGAGGTTGCAAGGCTGTGGTCAATGGGTTGAAAAACTGAGAACTTCAACATCAGCCCATCCACGCATGAAAACAATGTCACTCATCAGAATTCTGTCCTCAAGTGCACCTAGCAATCCCTTCTCTAGTTTGCCCTCCCTTCTTTTTGGGTGTTAACAATCTCTTCTTTTGCAGCCTGCCAAGATAAACAATTAAAAGTTATGATGATCAGCCTCACCACCGTGAGAATTCCCTTTTGATGAGTTATGAAAAATTACACATCTAAGGGGAAACAATCTTTAGAGAAGAGAAACAGCTTCTTGTTATTTTTCAGTATAATTAAATATTGACAAGCAAATGCAATAACGGAGATCAAAAGGATGTAAAATAAAATTCTTCATTAAACACGTACCTTTTTCACCTGTCCACGGATTCCACTGACTGTCCGAACCTCTTTACCTCACATTGAGCTACTTCAAGATCTGAAGTGAAAATATCCTTGATAAGTGCTGTTTTCTTGAATATCTTGCATGGATAACCAAACAGTTTAATTTTCTTCTTTATCTTTGCTTCATGATTGAACTCAAGTTAACTGCCGTGGCTGTGATTCTAAATGCAGCCTAAAAATCCAAATAAAAATATTAGTTGATTATGAAAAAGTAAATTAAAAAAGAAAAAGGTCAAAGAAAAAGCAATAAGATATCCCAACAGCAAACAGTGGCTTCAAGATTCATAAATGCTCACTTGCAGTTATAATACACAATATGACAAATAGCTCCCTTAACTGTACTACAGCATATCAAAAAAGGATGGGTGTGGGAACCAATTAAGGCCAATAAGGTAGTTGAAAGTGAAGTCTCACACATTATGCAGAAATAAAAATGATTAAATATAGATAGTATAGCTGCACTAGAAAGACGAAACCTATTAAGTCTCATGCTATTTCAAACATTATCTAGAATTCAGACAACGCAGCATAGAAACACGACGTCACAAATCTTGTGTTATAAACATATCAATAAAAAATAGAACATATACTTGGTGTGCTATGCATGGGAGGACATATCATCTTAATGGGAAATCTCTTAAACTTCCTTTTTAGATCCAGAAATCTTTATTTTTATCAAGTAGGTGGCACCCAAAAAAAAAAAAAAAAAAAGGAAAAAAAAAAAACTGACCTGACTGTTCGATAAGTTCTGGACAGCAACCACCCCAGTGTGAGGAGGGGCAAGAGGACCCCAAAACATAGCCAGGCAATGCATGTGTTCTGGAGTGTACTTCAGCATGCGATGCCTCCCATTCTGGTCCTCAATGGCATAAACAGGTATAGTTTGGAAACGTCTCCAACCAATAGAAACTACTATGGGATCTCTAGTCTTTAGCACTTTCCTATGCCATCTGTGACGCTTTAACCTAGCCTGAAAGAAAAGCAATGGTAAGCCATGTCAAACATGGAGATCCGTATAAACAAGGTGAAAAAACATTTAACTTTATCAGTCAGAATTACAACAAAACAGTAAATCAGCCCATTTTACTAAATTCTGGTTTATGTTAAGTAGTAAACTGTGGGCCGCTAATCAAGTCTCTTCAACTAAGCAGATATTAAGCAGTCAATGCATACAAATAATCCTAAACATATAATACCCAACAATTAACTTCTACTAATTCCTGAGCAGTAATTTTCAAAGGACATACAGATAATTAAAGACATTAAGTTGAAGAACACAAGCCAGCATTGAACAAAATTAAAAGATCTGTCCTCTTACCTGCATGTATCCAATATTTTCCTCACCAAGACCAATTCCTCCAACCAAAATTGGATGGAAGGGATCAAAGTATTCGACCATTTCGAAAGGGACATCATGTATCTCCAATCTTACATATGTCCCTGTTCGAAAGCCCTCAATCTCTACCCGAGTGACCTCATCAAGATCATTGAGCTCAGATATGTTCATTTGTTTCCGAAGTTCAATCTCCTCCTTCATCTGAAAGAATCAAGAATAAGTACCACTCAAAACCCAACACCAGCAGAGATTTAAGATCACCACAATATTTACCTTGTCAATAAGTCCAACTTCATTAGGTTGACCACGATGAAACTTGGCCCCTTGTTTATTATCAATTTCCTCCTCTGCTGAATCAGATCCATTATACGTAAAAAAAAAGGTTAAGGTCAAGACGGCCAATTTTACATGGTTTTGTCGTATTAGACAGCAAAATTGACCAGAAAACCAAAATATAGGTATTACCTACCATGCTACAACAATATTACACTCCATTGATAAAAAAATGCAAATGACAACCAACAAATTCAGCAATGGAGAGGAAAACAGCAAAACTAGCAATAACTCACACATCATCTCATGACAACTGCATCAAAATTAATGGAATGATCCATCAATGGCAGCTGGGGAAGGATGCAGGAAATAGGAATACATGTTTTAAAAAATAATGAAGCAGTCAAAGCAAAAAGGATATTGAGCATCAAATTTTGCACGAAGCGCAAGCTTCTTCAACCTCCGCTCCTCAATTGCTGATTCGTCTTCATTCTGGATTGTACCATTTCCAGAATCACCTATAGGATGGCTCTCATGCTTCTCACCAGTTTCTAAATCTTCAAAGTCACCACAGACGTCGTTGTCCTCATCATCTTCGAAGTTATTCTCTGACCCTTGATTTCTGCGAGCAGCTTTCAACCAATCACCTGTGACAAAACGATCTCGAATGCTTTCATATATTTCCACCTCTTTCCAATTTTTAATGTTTTCATAACTTCTAAACTTGGAACAGTCTTCCGTATTGAAATTGTCACTATCAAGTCCTTCTCTCAACTTCTGCAACATACAGGCAACAAGAGTAAGTGAATGCAACAAATTCCATTTATAACATGTAAATCAATATTAAAATTATCAATAGTGTTTAAACATCCCAAAAATTTAGAAGGAACTCTTTGGGAAAATGAAATATGGATTTTGTGGTGAAAGTAACATCAGGAAAAACCTTATTCCCTTCTCCCTTTGGCCGAAAGAATTCATCATCATCACTTTCTTCATCCTCACTACTGTCTTGTACTCCATTGGAAGATGTTGCTGATGTTGATGCAGATTTCCCGTATACAAGCTGCATGAGATTTATATTTTGTCTTGAGACAGTCCTCTCCAACAATGACTCTTTCCACTTCGATATATTCCCCATGCCATCTTCACGTGCAGCAATGAGTTAGACAAGTTTAGAAATAGAGAAAATTCCATGCTGAAGGCAGTCTGTATAAGAATTTAACCATCTATATTATCAAGCAACTACAAATACAAAAATCCAACAAAAACCATGGTATTGGCTTTGTAATATTCAAAACTTCCCTCTACCAATCTTAAACTGATTTCTACATTCTTTCATACTTAAATATAGCTAAAAATAGCATACAGAAGCTTTTTAAAAGCACAAACACTACAGCACAAAACATAAATTGTACAACTTTAAGTGAGAAAAAAATACCATCTATTTGATCATCCTCTCCATCTGAAAAATCTGAGCCAGAAGATGACTGATTATCTACATTATCATTTTTATCTTCATCATCATCATTGTCATCATCTTCATCAGAATCCTGCAGTAAAGCACATTGCACATCATGATTCCAAAACAAAACTTTCTTGATATCACTTGAATTATTTTTACAAATTAAAATATACATATAAGGTACAAAAATTCTACAATAGTACTCTAGTAAAGTGATCTTACAAACAACCCAGAAGTTATGGTAGCATAGATACATTCAGTTCTGAAAAAGTGGGATAAACTAAAGGAGCTCATGTCGTCTCAAACGCAAACTGTGCTCATTTCTTTATTTCAAAGCATGCAAACATAAAAGTATCTAAATATACTAATAAAAAATGCATAAAGTTTGATAAAACTCTACCACCCTTCCCTTTTAGGATGATGGTTCTCTCAATGAAAGAAACAAGTACCGGTCACTGTACCTTCAAATCACTATGATCAATGTTGTTTCCAAAGATAGCTTTTCTCCGTAGCCTTCCATTATTGAATTCCAAATGTTCCTTCAAGTTATCTTCATCAGAACCACTACTTCTACTTGCAGCAATTTCATCCTTATTAACATCTCCATCTTTGTCAGAAGACTCTGAATCATCCAGGTCATCATCAACATGTTCATCAACAAGCCCATCAACCTTAATTCCTTCCCCAGATTGTTCATTGGTGTCTTTTGCATCATTTAAAGTTTCTGATGAGATATTAGGTTTCCGACTGAAAAGGTTAATGAAGCTCTTCTCTAACTTCTCATCAATTGAATATTTCGTGTTTTGAAGCGACTTTACCAGCACCTCTCCCACATCTTGATCCTTCCCTGGCAACAACAGGACAAAAATACTTGAGCAAAGAAAAATGATAGAAGTTGAAACCAGTAAGAAAAAGCTGAGATATTTTGCTATTACCCCATGCATTATTCTGCCAAAGAAATATCATCTAGAACAACATAACCAGAAAATTTATACGTATACAAGTTATAATGTAATTTATAGACTTGGCAAAGAGAAGAAAAGATATTTCCATTTTGACACAACACAAAACATGAACAATAAAAAAAGTGAAATGAGTAAACCTAAAAGGATTTCAGGATTTTATATTAAAATAATGAAACAAAAGAAAGCGAGAATAGGAAATAACTAGTAAACCTTTTCGGATAATTTTTTTATTTTCATCATCAACTTTAGAAAACTGCACAAGGTGGTCATTTATGTTTATATAGACAGCATCCTTGTCATACAGGAGATCCCCAAGGCCAGACATGGGAGCATAAACAAGTTTTTCCTTGTCACGGAGACCCTTCTTTTTGGCAGTAGATGGTAAAGGACACGGATCAGCTAAGCTTGTAACACCAGCTATACTATAATCCCCAACACCAGCAATATGCACCTGATTCACAAACTGAAATTAGGACACAAATCTACGAAATTTTAAGGAGTTGAGCAAGATAAAAGGAATATTTAACCACAAGGCATACCGTCAATTAACCATATTTTTCAAATGTAAGGGGCAAAAATGAAGATCTATAATTCCAATTAACCATGCTGTACGTCTAAATTAATAAGACGTTCATGTTAACATTTTTTATTCTATATAAAACAAAATAAAAAATCTTGCAGAATGTATAGAAAGAATAGTAATAAAAATTAAAAACGTGATGGCCAATGCTGAATACAAGAAATCAAATTGAGGATGGGACCCAGAAGAGATAGCCATATAGAGCCTACTACAGGCAAAGATTTGGGAGGTAAATAAAAAATTGAACTATGCATTTTCATGTTACAATTATTTCACGGAAATATGCAAAATTGCATTGTGCTTTAAAACCTCTTGCATCTAAAATAGATCTAAAAATACTAACTTTATGACTACAAAATTTTGGGACCACTCAACCACATGGAATATTCCAAAACTCATACATGGAAAATAACTATGTAAGGTGCACTTCCATTTCCCAACCTTTTGCAAACTAGAAAGCAGTTTATGATTCAACTTAAAGTTTCCACAGATTGACAAAACGACAAAAAATCTGCTCTTTTTCTTTTTTTTTTTTTCCCAAAAACAAACAGTATTAAGGTAAAATAGGACTTTATCGTAATTTGATTGCTCCAGATGTCCAAGAAAAACCCGAACAGCAATCTTATTTGATTAGCTAATATTATCCAGAATGAACAAGAGAGAGGTCAATCCTGTAACATTAAGTTGGGAGGGCTAAAATGCTATATGCATCTTCCCTTACATCTCAACCGCATCTCAAGGTTAACCTAAAACCATAATTCTCAAGTGATTTACAAAGTTAAATTACTCACTAATGTGCTCACAGAAATTATAACTTTGTTTCTAAAAGTTAGTTTGTTTTATAACTCAGATTTCTGACTACTCATTTTTTTAAAGACACTTTTGACCTAATAAAAACTAAGAAAATCAAGCCCTTAAATCTAATCTCTTTCAACTCAATCTCTGACCCATTATCCCAAAAGTCTGTCCTCAATGTTACCTCATTAATTGTGTACAGGCAAAAATATAACAACCTTGATGGCTAAGTTGGGTTGAAATATTTGCAGAATGTTTTCTACCTAACTATGCTTTGTGTATAAACACCACTGCACAACCATCAAATGATTAAAAGATGCCTAAGGTTGCCTCCCGTTTCAAATCATAACTATGTAGGACAGAAAGAAGAAAGCCTTCTTGACCTTCTTGACCAGGACTGACTTCTTTGTGCATATCTTAAAATACATATATAAATTTATGAAGGAGGATGAAAACTAGGAGCAGATAAACAAAAAAAAACAATTAGCATTTTCTAACCTGCTGCTTCAATCTATTTTAGATTGTAAGCATGCAAAGATGTGGTCTATTTTCAACAAGCCAACCAAAATCACTAGAGAACAAGAGCATCAAGGAACCACCCTCATAATGCAAAGTCCCATCATTGTTTGTTTATAAGAACATATAAATAGCACATTCATCAGTAAGAAATAAATTACAAATGAAATAATGATATTAGATGGTTTAAAACACATACCTTATTTCCCTTTTTCAAATTACAACCGCGCAAATAACCATAAAGTGTGACATTTCTGTCACATTTATTATTCATCTGCACTCTTTCAGGAGGAGTAACATCCTCAAAACGGTCAACCAAAACGTAAGGATGAGAAGTTCTCCATGACAAAGGAGGAAACTTCATGACAGAGATAAAACGTGCGAGATTGTGAATCTCACGTTTTGAGTACCTAGTCAAAGAAAGAAAGAAAGAGACACAATTACCCTTACATATGATAGTTACTGCAAGTCCGAATCAAATAGCACTGTGAAGATATACTTACTTCCCATGAATGAGACCAGATAAATAAAACAATTTTGCTCCATCATATATTTCTGTCCAGAAACGATGTTTGAGACGCTGCTTTGTTTTTCTCAACTTCTTCACATCCTTGAATGTATCAAGGTGAGTAAGAACTCCCATAACCCTTGGCATTCCATGATTTTGCATTAAGTTAAGAAATTCAAAGGTTTCCTGCAACAAAAAGAAAAGATATAGAAACTCAAAATCGTTTTCAATTACAGATGGACAAAAGAAATGTTGATTACAAGCGCAAAAATAAAAAATGATAGAGAACTAATAAATAAAACCAAGTTAAAAAGATCAGGAAAACAAAACAAAACAAAACTGGGCAGCGCCATAAACAAAAATGATGCAAGCCAAATGGAAGTCTCAACATAAAATAATGAAACCAAACATGCTAATTAACAAATTGATCATGGAATGGTTGATGTACAACCATTTAATACTCTGATACAAAATCATCAATAATTCAAACTAACAACATTTCCAATTAAATAATACAAAAAGAATTCAATTATTAAAATTAGTTCATACACCCAAAAGCAACCAATCGAACCAGTATCAATCCTGTCAACTCAAATATCAACAGTGAATACTAAACAACAATAATCTCACCATTTCAAACCCATAACTTCCATCTATGAGAAGCAGTGCCAAGTCAGCAACCTTTGCACAATCAATCATACCGTTGATATCATTTGGGCACTCCACAAATTGTAGCCGCCTTTGCTTACCTAACATATTTCATCAATTCCTCATCAGAGATTAAGAAAATAAAGAAAACTTAAACTCCAATAACTTCTTAAGTTAATAATTCAGTAGGTCAGAGCAAATATAAACCTGACACAATAGTAATCGGTCCTCGGACCTCAGGAACATTATGCTTTGTATAATGCTTTATAAGTGATTTTATAACCAAAGACTTTCCAACCTGCCACCACCCAAATAAACAATCACCATCCAATGTTAAAAAAACAACATGAAAAATTTCAATTAATCCTACAAAAGAATCAGTATATAAACAAACCTGGGGCGGTCCCTGGACTACCACAACATATGGGGGTGGTTCACCATAAGAACGGTCTATAGTTGGAATGTGAAGCCTCCGTTGCTCTTTCTCAACTGCCCGCGACTGCAATCTCTTCGCTTTCACAGATGAAGTAAAAGCAAATGCCTACAACAAAAAATAGAAAAATAAAACAATCAAAAACAGCTAGAAAACAATAACATTAATAACACCAACCATCAATAATAACCAAAAACAATTTAAAACCTTAGGGTTTTGCTTATTCTCTTGCTTATTTTTATCCGACTTCCCCTTCTTCTTCCTCGCCGATGAACCGGCTTGGCGAGCCCTGTGCTCCTTGTGCGGCTGCTCCATGGCTCTAGCGGCCGGTCGTGAAACCCTACACTGTGAATAAATATAAGGCCCGAAGAACGATCTCAAGTCTTTATTAAGTTACTGTAATTTTATAAAGATAAAAACTAAATAATTTGTGAGGAACTGAATTTATTAAAAATTAAAACAAAATTATTCCAAAGGATATATTTGTTATATGAAAATTGCTTTTAACTGCGGGCTTGATAGATTATGGGTGGGTACCAATAGTACCGCTCTTTTAACTGAGGACTGTTCAGAAGAATAATACAGTCATGAGGTTGTGAACTCAACTCAAAATCAAAACAAAGTAAAAGAGAAGATAACCCCCATACAATAAACAATCAAAAATACAATGTGAACCGCAATTTAAAACAAAAGAATTTATCTATTTCCAATCACCTCCACGAGCAAAACCCAAAATTCACACGAAGAAAAGAAGGGAGATCTTAGGCATTGATGAAATAAAGGAAGAGCTTACCAAGCTGTTGCTTCGTCTGCTTTGTTTAAGCTTGGTGATGAGCTGGTGGCTTTGCTCTAAGTGAAGTCTTGGCGGACACCGGCGTCGAAAATGGACGGGGCAGTGACGACCACGGGCCTCGGAGAAAGCAAAGAAACAAGTGAGTACTGAGTATGGAGGGGGCTTAGGGTTTAAGAGGGACAACAAGTCTCTTGCACTCTAATTATTTCTAAGTACACTCCTTTTTCTTAAATTAAATTTTTAATTTGCATTATTTCTATAATAAACTCATAGTTTTTTAAATCAATTACAATACATGATATAATTATTTTGTGTTGATAAAGTAAATTATAAGATGATAAGATTGATTATAATTATTAGTTTAAAAATTGTAACAAAATCTATATGTTTTTAGAAAAAGAAAATTATGGTTTATATGACTAATATACATAATTATTGATTTTTAAAAAATATGCAAAGTATATTTTGTCAATTAAAATATAGTTAAGTTATAAAATATATAATATTAGGGCTAATTACATTTGCATCCCCAAATATTAAAATATTTATGGTAACAGTAAAAATGGTAAAAAAGACATTTTAAATAAATTATTAGTCTTTTTTACCTATGAAAAATTGAAACAATACCAAAGTATTCAATCACTTATTTAAAACAGCCAACTCTTTTGTTTGGAACAGCCAATTGTTTGGTTTAAACTTTCAATAATGCTATAAACATCAGGACTGTGCACTGAATTCTTACATCGAATTACGTGTCCGTGACTTAAACCAGCCATGTATCACATTAACAAATATTTTGTGAGTGAACGACTATTCATCAACTATAGACGGTCGTTCATTGTTATTGGACGGGAGTCCATTATATGTGGACGCTTGTCCATGTGAAATAAACAATGGACTCCCGTCCATGTTATATGAATGGGTGTCTACCTATAATGGACTCTCGTCCATAGTTTAAATTTAAAAAATTTGAAAACAAAAATCATAGACTCTTATCCATATTCAATGGACGGGGGTCCATACTAAATGGACGAGCGTCCACATATAATGGACGTTCATCCATAGTTTAAATTAAAAACATAATTAAAACAAAAGTAATGGACGCCGGTCCTATATTATGGACGGGAGTCCATACTTAATGGACGGGCGTCCACCTTTAACGGACGCCCATCCAAACTTTAAGTTTAAAAAAAAAAAAATAAAAAATTATAAACAAAATTTAGGGAGGCCCGTTCATATGTTATGGACGGCCGTCCCTGAATAATGGACGGGCGTCCACATATAATGGATGCTCATCCATACTTTAAATAAAAAATACAAATAATAAAACATAATTTATGGACGCCCGTCCATATGTTACGGACGGGCATCCCTATTAGGAAAAAAGAAGTTTATCTTCTCTTCAAAGTCTTCTTCCTCATCCAGCTCTTCAATGTCATCCATTCTTTCAGTTTGGTTTTTTAGTAATCCAAACAGCCAAAAAAAAAAAAAAAGGATAAGCTACCCTGATGAAGCCTTTCCAGCGGGTTGGGTTGGTCTAACCAAGAAAGTCAGGGAAAGTCAGGGGAGAAAGATGAAGATGCACAAACGCGAAAGGAAGAAGGCTGCTCAATTGAGTTTTCTGGTTTCATAAATATTTTGTAATATAATAATAGAAGCCCGTCCATATAATACGGACCGACTTCCATATAAAATGGATGCCCGTCCATACGCAAATAAAATGTTTTTTTTTTAATTTACATGATTTTTTTTTTCTATTTGTAAAAATCATTAGCTTGTCTAATACGCTTCTCCAAAATAAAAACGCCAAAATTTTATAGAAAAAAAAAAAAAAAAAAAAAAAAAAGAACTTCATTTTAAACCTATTACCTTTGGCTTCGTCATTCCCATCTTTTCTTCGCGTCTGCGTGTTATATTTAGTGTTGTACTAGTTTCTACCTCGACAGCCACAACCGATTTCTTCCTCAACAGCTAACAAGCCTCAATAGCCAACAAACAGCTACCATGACAAGAAAGAAAGCCACTAATTTTTCATGAAACAATCGTTTAGGGTGGAAAAGGAGTTAGGGAGATCAAAAAAATTTCAGATTAGAAAGATTTGTTGAGGTACTTAAAGAGTTTTTTATTTAATTTATGCATTTATTTAGTTTTGTATTATATTTTGGATTGAATATATGTTACAATAGAAAATAACTAATACAAAATATTTGTTGGTGATTATTGTAAATCAGATTTGTGAATGCAAACACTAGTATTGGTTTTGCACAAAATTACGGAATATGGAAGAGTCCAGTTTGCCTCATTTCAATGATGTTGAGATAAATTGTGCTCGAAACCTTTACTTTTTCATTAATATAATTTTAAATTTGTTGTATCGAATTATTTCTTAGGATGTGTTGTATTAGTACATTCTAATTTTGTCCATTATAAAACTATTAAATGATTAGGATAATGAATGTAATAAATTAGAAGATATATGATGTGCGGAGGAAGAAGTTGAGCCTCATATTGGAATAGTGTTTGATTCAATGGATAATCTGGTGAAGTATTACAAACGGTATGGTAACAAAATGGGTTTTGAATCAATGATACGTACGTCAAAGAAAGACGATGATAAGGAGATGAGATACGTGACAGTAGTGTGTTCTTGTTCTGGGAAGGAGAGATGTAAATCCAGAAATACCTTGAAAAAGCAACATGTTGCCAAAACAGATTGTAAGAGTCAGATTAGTACAGCTTTGAATGGTCAATGCAAATGAGAAATTAAATCAGTTGTACTTGAACATAACTATGATCTTACAAGTCCGACAAAAAGAAGATATTTCAAGGTTAACCGAACGATACAACCTTATGTGAAAAGGAGGTTTGAAGTTAATGATGTGGTTGGGATTAGACTGTGTAAAAATTTTCAATCATGTTTAGTTGAGGCAGGTGGTGTAGAGAATTTGTCATTTCTACAAAAAGATTGTAGAAACTACATTGAAAAAGTGAGAAGGCTATGACTTGGAGTTGGAGATGCTTCGGCAGTACTCGAGTATTTTATGAAAATGCAAAAGGAGAATTCAAATTTCTGGTACATGATTGATGTAGATTAAGAGAGTCGATTACAGAATGTGCTATGGGTTGATGCTAGATGTAGGGCCACATAAAAAGAATTCGGTGATGTTGTGACCTTCGACACAACATATCTGATGAACAAGTATGATATGCCATTTGTTGTTTTTGTGAGGGTTGATCATCATGGAAATTCGACATTGTTAGGTTATGGGTTAATTTCCCATGAGGACATTGAGACATTTGTATGGCTATTTCATTCTTGGCTTGAATGCATAGATGTTGCTCATGATGGAATTATCACTGATCAAGATAAGGCCACACAAAATTCAATTGAGATTGTTTTCCCTGGTACAAGACGTAAGTGGTTTTTGTGGTATATAATGAAGAAACTACCTAAAAAGTTAAGAGGATATAAGGAATATGAAACTATAAAGTTTAAGTCACAAAATATTGTGTATGATTCTTTTACGCATGAAGAGTTCGAAGAACGGTGGAACCAATTTGTTAATGTGCACAACCTTTATGAGAATAAATGGTTATATGGATTGTACAAAGAAAGAGTACGGTGGGTGCCTGCATTTCTTAAAGATACTTTCTGGGTAGGTATGTCTACTACCCAACGTAGTGAAAGTATGCATGCATTTTTTTATGGATATGTAAATTCCAAAACTACTTTGAAATAATTTGTGGAACAATATGATAATGCATTACGAGATAAAGTGGAAAAAGAAAGGGAGGTTAATTTTAGGTCTTTCAAATCTTGGATACCATGCATCATTAATTACCCTATTGAGAAACAATTTCAAAGTGCATACACAACTGCAAAGTTTAAAGAGTTTCAAGAAGAGATTGCAGGGAAGATTTATTGTGAATTATCTTTTCTGAAAAAGTGCGATTCATACAAGGAGTATCAAGTTTTAGAAGATGTTTGGTTTGGAGATAGCAGTCGTTGTGTTCCCTTTGCGGTATACTTTGAAGAAAGTTTGTGTGATATTCGTTGTACTTGCCATTTGTTTGAGTTCAGGGAGATTTTATACAGACATATCATTATTGTGTTGATTCATCAAAGGGTTTCACACGTTCTAGAAAAGTACATTTTATGGCGTTGGAGGAAAAATATAAATAAATGCTATACAAAAATTAAGGTGAGTTATAATAGGTGGAGCACCAACGTTGAAGGACAACGTTTTGATAAGTTATCTAATATAATGCTAACAATAGCCGATATGGCATCAAACAATGAGAAAGATTGTAATATGTTGATGGAATTTATGATTGACATGAGAAAAAAAGTTGGAGCAAAAGGAAAGTGAGGGAGGGCTTGGTAGAAAAGTAAACATCTCTTCCACAACCGGTTTAAGTAGTAAAGATGAATAATCTAATTATTATTCCACAGGCAGTTTGTAGCAAAGGTCGTCCTCCATGTAGAAGAAAGCAATCGAAGGTTGAAGAAATTATACGTAGGATTAAAAATAAAAAATTACGAAAATAAAGAATTGGTATGAGTTATACACTTATTCTTACATGATATTTGTTTTTGAAACATTATTTACTTATTTGAAGTTTATAATAATATTGGCTTGATTATTAATGTGTTATGCTACTTTTTAGTAAAATGATTATTAGTAAAGCGAGAAAATGAACAGTTTCTTTCTTTTACTTCCGTGGTCGATGCCCTCCCATATGATTACATCAACATTGTTAAAAGTATACCGGAAACTCAAGTGTTGTCAAATGATGTTGTTGCTACCCAAGTATGTGTTATGCATTGTAAAACCCCCATCCAGTCAGGTATCCTCTGAATATCCCTCAATGAGAATCCTGGGGATACATGTTTGGAGAACGAGTTGTATTTAGAAAAAACAACTTGTGTAAGGATAATAATAATAATATCCGAAACATGCATATAAAATATCATGTAGGATCCAAACATATAATTTCAAAACTTTAGGAATTTATTCGTAAAATACACAATTGAAACATATTTATAGGGTAGAATATTCCAAAAGGTGTTTCAAAAATATTTATCATTTACATTATTTACATCAAGATAAAAACATCGAGATGACAATAAATCATCTCCCCTCACGTGTAGCCC